CCCCTGAGGCCGACTCGGCCATCAGGTGCACATAGGAAGGGGAGGCTCACAGAGGCGAAGCCCCGTGAATGTCCCATACGGCCCAGGGGAGGCATAATGACAGTCACATTCCATAGCTCTGACCCCAAGTCTGGCGCCGTTCACAACACAACAGGGGCCATCCCTGCAGCCCAAAGGTCACCTCCCTCTAGGAGACACTCCCCCACTGTAAGCTCTGGGCCCACACCAGAGAGGCGAGAGCCCCCAGCAGAGGTACACCCCATCAGAGCAGGTGCACCGTCCAGGAGACCCACAGCATAAAGCGAGCTGGAGGCCGACACACTGCCTGCCACCTGACCTTGGTCTCCACTGCTCTGGGACCCTCAAGAGCCTGCCTTCCTGCCCAGCTGCTCGGGGGGCCCGGCCTCTGCAGAGATGTTCCTGGGGGCCAGGTGGGGAGGCAGGCGCTGGAGGAGCCCAGACAGGTCCTGCTTCTCAGGGAGGCCATGCCTGAGCGGGGTTGTGAAGGCCAGCTGACCCAGACATGTGAAAGCAAAGGAAGAAGCCCCGTCCCCAAACACTGGTCAGCAGATGGGAGGGGCAAGGCGATCCTCAGACAGCTCTGGGGCAAGGCTTGGGGAGCGGGCTGCCACCAATGTGCCTCTAAGCCCCAAAAGCAGAGCCCAGAGGGGAGGGATGTCCCCACAGGAGCCAAACTTCTCCTGGGGGTGCCTGGATCCACACAAGCAAGCGTGCGGGACGGGTGCTGCCCACACCCCCGGGGAGCACTGCGTGGTAGCAGGTCGGCACCTGGCAGGTTCCTGCAGCCCCCGAGTCCCCAGAGCCCTCGCTGTGGCAAGTGGAGTCACTCTAGAGTTTCAGGTTCTGGCCCACATGGGGTGTGTACTGCGGTCCAGTTCACACCCAGTCCCCACCGGCGCATGCTGCCACGTGCCCTGGACAGACGGGAGACCCCAGGACAGCAGGTGAGCCCCGGATGTGGCTATGCTGCCTTCCAGCCACTCTGCCGAGGCCAGAAGCTGGGTTCTGCCTTACCGGCCGGCCCCAACACCATCACCAGGGCTAGGCCGAGAGGACACCACACGTCCCACAGCAACCCTGTCCACAGCTGGACCACACAGGGCGTTGGCATGAGACTCAGCTGCCATCGTCACCATCCTCGTCTCCTCCCTCCAACAGGGCCTTCTTGCAGGAGGCGGGCAGGAGGGCTCCTGAACCACAGCCACACAGAACGACGGGCCACAGAAACCAGGGCTCTGGCTGGTCCTGGGAACTCACAGGCCCCTGCACTGGCACGAGCACGAGGGAGAGCAGGCTTTGCTCTGGGGCAGGTGTGTGTGTGTGTGTGTGTGTGTGTGTGTGTGTGTGTGCATGCAGCCAGGCCCCTGCTGGGCCAGAGCTCCTGCTGTCCTCGGAGTGGCGGCCCCAGGCCAGACCTCTTCCCCGCACACAGCCGGCATGTCCGGACCGCTGGCACCGTGTGTCCTCGCACAGAGTGCGCGGGTGAGCCTGAGCCCTCAGTCACGGCGGCGCACATCTGCGGAGCCCGCTCAGCTGGGATAGCGCTCAGCTATTTCCCAACTCTGCCTAGGGCCCCTTCCTGCCTGAAAATCACTGTTGGGAAAACAAAATACAATAAAGCAAAGGGGCCAGGAGGCTATACTTCACCGTAACCCCCTCCAGCCTGATTCCACCACCACCGCCGCGGGAGTCTGCCATCAGCCCCCAGGTGGCAGGGCCCCAACACCGCATGGGGGCCGCTGGGCCACCCCGTCTCTCGGGCCCATCTCCGTCCGGAGCCTCTCATGCTCAGGACTGCCAGCCCACAGAGAAGACTGCCCTGCTGCCCCACCGAAGGGCAGCCCTGCACTGGCGAAGCCCTTCTGACCCTGGGGCGCATCCAGACTGAGCTCACCACTGTGGGTGGGGAAGCTGAGTCCCACAGAGTGCAGTGACCCTGCCAAGGGTGGGAGGGCTCCGGGGCCCCTCGCGTCCCCTCTTGGGACCCTGGAAGCCAGTGAGTGTCTGCAGAGGGTCGGTCTGCCTTCTACTTAGCTTCTTACACTCTCTCCCCCATCTGTCTGTCCTCAGCGAGCATCCTGCCCGTGCCAGGCCCTGAGCGGGGAAGTAGGCAGAGGACAGGGTGGGATGGGGTATCCTGTCCCTTGACAGGGAGCAGGCAAAGGTGACAGGTGACTCACCAGCAGTCACTCAGAGTGCCGGGTTAGAGCACTCCTGACAGGCCAGGCAGCTCCAGCCACGGACCCCACAGCCCTTGGCCCAGAGGAAGCTCAGAGGCTCGGTGTCGTCAGTGTCCGGGAGGCCTTTGGCCGAGCATGTGAATGCACGCACACACCTCCAGAGAGTCTGTGGAGACTGCCCGCTGCTGGCTAGCTGCTCCCCACAGCCCAGCACTTCCTGCCGGCAGAGTCACAGGGGAGGATGGGGCCACCACAGAGGCCTGGGGCCCTACAACATGCAAGCAGCAGCCGCCTCTCCAAGCCCTGCCCAGCACTGCCCAAGGCATGGCAGCTGGTGCCAGGGGACCGTCCCTCAGGACACTAGGGAGCGTGTCTGTGGACAGAAGGCTGAGCCAGCCAAGAGGACGGACCCTCCGCCCACCCGACCCCTCCTGTGGGGTGGCCCGTGAACTCCGAGAAAGGCCCCACGTGGATGTGCCCCGAGCAGCGGGTGCCCACATGTGTGTGAGCAGCAGGGGGAGGCTTCAGTGGAAGAGTGAGGGAGGAGCCGGGGTCGCCCTGGGGGTGAGGGATGGGGGACTGAGGCTGGCAGGCCCTCACGGCCACATCGGGGAGCCCAAGAGGCAGGTTTGTGTCCCGTGCAGGATGGGGGCACTGGCTGGGCGGGGCAGGGTGGGCTTCACCTGCAGAATGGAGGGGAGAGCCCCTCAGTTGGACCCACAAAAGGGTCCAATGTAGGGCCCAGGGCCCACGCTGGAATCCTGGGGACTCACAGCCTCGCCCTGAAGGGAGAGACACATGTTCGGGGCAGGAAGGGTGTGTCTGGGGCCCCTAGCTGGCCCCATGGCCCCAGATCCCTGTCCCTCTGTTTTACCCAACATGGCTTCCCATCCTTCCTAAAGAGCCAGGATGAGAAAGGCAAAACCCCACCATCTGTTCCTGCCCACACAGCACCAGGCACCATGGGGTGACGAGACTGCACATGATAAGAAAACCAGTGTCCTTGGCAAAGCTGGGCTTCCAGGGGACCAAGACACAGGGAGGCAGGCACCTGTCCAGAGCCATCCGCAAGGAGCTGGGCTGGCTCCCGACCAGCAGGGCCCCGTGACAGGCACGAGAAGACTCTGCCTCCATGCCCTGCTGGGGGTCTGGGTAGGGGGGAGCCTGTGCATGTGCCTATCACATGCAGATGTCCATGCACATGTGCATACATGCACGTTCCTAGGCTCTGTTTCCCGGGACACCCCCACCACCCCCATCCCATCCCAGGAGGCTGCACAGCACCAGCGCTTGCCGAAGGAGATCCTGACCCATTAGTCGCGGTCTCTCAGCTGCCTGGCCTGCGGCCGTCCTCCACGGGGGCCACCGGGGCATCTAGGAGAATGCCTGAGAGCCGAGTACAGGAGGGACAGGGACCGCCCTGTCCTGTGCCTGGGTCCCCTGCTTTGTGGAGAGGCAGTGAGGCTAGACAAGGACACGGAAATCACCAGGCCTGTTCTATGGACCCATCCCCAAGATTTCCATGGACAAATGAGAGAAACGGCTCCTGCTTCTGGCCAGTCCTCCCCATACCCTGTTGCTCAGGAGGGCTGGGAGCTGCCCTGAAGGCTGGGCATGGCGAGCAGGAGCCCGTGCTTCCAGGACTCTGCAAAGCTACTGGAAAGTCTCTGTGCATGCCGCCAGCCTGGCGGGCCCCTGCTGCACCAAGCCCTGGCCAGAGCTGGGACAGGGTGCACGTGCCTATGCGGGGCTGCTGAGCATAGTCAGGCCTCGGGCATGGGGGAGAGCTGAAGGTGGCGAGGGACAGCAGACCATCGGTGGGGGGCGGCAGAGGCTCGGGGGATGGCAGAGCGTCTGAGGGATGGCAGAGATTTGAGAGGGGGACGGCAGAGGGTCTGGGGGGAATAGCAGACTGTTTGGGGGAACGGCAGAGAGTTGGGAGGGGGAATGGCAGAGGGTCTGAGGGGGACAGCCGACTACCGGGAGGAACGGCGAAGAGTTGGGAGAAGGACGACAGAGGATCCAGTGGGGGGGATGGCAGAGGGTCTGGTGGGGGGCATGGCAGAGGGCCTGGGGGTCTGACAGTGACTTCTGCCTGTCTCCACTCTGTGGTGGCTGCCCAGAGCGAATTGTATATCTTTGTTAATTTACTTAACATTTAAAAGAAACCGTGGTATTTCTACAAGATGCGAAACAATGATCAGCAATGCTGAGTTCTCCCAAGACGCGGGACATCACACAGGAGTGAAGTACGTTTCTGACAGTTCACACAGACACCTATCGGGTCCCGTCCGGAACTGCACCCCGGCAGCATCTCCAGAGAGAGTCTGGGGCCAACACGGGTCACGTAGTTCCCGCCCTCTGTGAGCTGGGGGTCCCAGCCCTGGCCTCACCAGCAAGCCCGAGTGCATGTCCCACAGTCCCACGGAGGGGAGGTCTCTTTCCTGTCCTGCAGTGCAGCACGCTGGCCTTGGCCATGGTCCAGTCCTGAGGCGCCTCCCTGGCCCAGCACGGACCCTCACCCATTACTCCAGCTGTCCCCTGAGCACGGCTGGTGCGGGATGCCCAGGTCCTCACTGCCCTCTCCCTCCCAGCCACACAGGGACGGCCGACAGCCAGAGGCAGCCAGATCAGGGCCTGATGCCTCCTGCAAGAGGCCCTGGGGGGCAGGGCAGAGCTGGGGTTGGCTGAGAGTCAGGAGACGCCCCTGGCCCGGGCCTCCACGCACACACAGTGAGGCTGATCCCGCACACACGCCATCGTCCAGCAGCGCGAACGGCGGGTCCCGGCAGGCCCTACCTTGAAGATGAGACAGTCGGCTTTGTGCTCGGCGTACATGGACGTCAGCCGGTACTGGTTCTCTGTCGTGATGTCAATCTGGTAGCCCGTGAGCGCATAGCAGACTTTCCGGAACTCCTGGATCTTAGTCTGAAAGACCTCCTTGAGCCGCTGGTTCTTCAACTCGGCGCTCTCCACCTGCTTCCTCAGCTCTGAGGGGGAGAGGAGAGGAGGTGAGCCTGCAAGCCAGGGTGGCAGCAGGGGCCAGGGTCAGAACTCCGGGCAGAGGGTCCAGGAAGCTGGACAGGCCACCTGTGTTGGCGAGCCCCGGTGTGTGCGCTGTCCGGGAGTGAAGAGTGTGGGCCGTAAGCAGTCTGCGCTTGTGCCTCCATGGAGAGCAGGGCTCTGAACGCCAGACCCCTTCCCGGCTCTGAGCCCCAATTCCACCCCTGGCCTGGTCCCTTCCTGAAGGACAACCAGGGCACACGGAAGCTGGCCTGGGTTGGGACGTGGGGGGTGCAGGGACCAGCCCCTGGCCACAGCCCTCAGGGAGGAGTGCTCTCTGACTGGGGACGCAGGCCTGGCCTGCAGCCCTGGTTCCCCACACACAGCTGTAGCCGCGTTCTTGCCGAGGGGCCAACACCCACCCGCATGGGCCAGGACGGAAAAGCGCTAGGTGGACGGGGGTCTTTGAGAAAAGATGCCTTAGAGACTCACGACCATGCTCTCTGGGGTTCCCCTGGCACCCGGAGACAAGGCCACCAGGTGAAGTCAGGCCCCTCGGTCCCCTTGGCCCCCACATGGCTCTAGCAGCGCCATTCAGAGCAGAGGCCCCCGGGCCCACCCGTCACTCCCACCACGGTCTAGGCCTGTGCAGGAGAAGATGCCGTGCCAAGTGCAAAGCCGTCGGGAGGCTACACAGCAATTACCATGGCTCCGTCCCCCATGGTGCCTTCCCAGTAATGAAAGCTCGATTACCCCCCACCATTCATTAGTGAGGCTGGCTCTCCTCGAACACCAGTGTAGCCTCTGAAACCAGGACCTTCCCAGTGGTCCTGTCTGGAGCTGACAACGGGGATTCCCCTGGGCCAGACAGGAGTCCCCTGGCCAAGGGGGTGGTGGGGAAACCCCCCAGCCTCGGAGCCGGTCAGCCCAGCTCAGAGCCCTGCCCATCGTGATGGGGACAGCAACCCCTTGTTCTCAGACCGACGCCCAGGCCCAGGCCCGTCAACCACCAGCTCCCTGGCGGGGCTGAGAGCAGGTGGTCCAGTCAGACAGCTTAACATGAGCAGATGTGGGTAGGGTCATTTCCTGGAGGAGGTGATGGAGATAGGGGACAGGAAGCCTGCATTCTGGGGAGGGAAACCCACTGGAGACCCTGTACCCGCTCTGCCCTTCCTGACCTGAAGCCTCAAGGCCCTCCCCCTGCAGCTCCTGGGTACGAGTCAGGCACACAGCCGTCTCCAGAGGTGTCACGAGGACCAAGCTGGACCTCACGGGACCCTAAGGGGCCACAGTGAAGTGCGGCGTGCTTCAGGCCATACCACCAATGAAGGGAGCCCAACAGCCACACACAGGCTCCCATAGGCTCTGCGGCTGCCTCAAGGCCACAGGGAGGGCCTTCTGCCCCAGGCCAAGCTCTCAACAGCCCCCTGCCCCTCACATGCTCCGGGTGGCACCAGGCCTGTGAGCACAGATCCTCTGTCTTGTCTGTACTGCTCGTGCCTCTGCAAGCAGCCTGGGGCTGGCCACATTCTTGCTCTGAATGTGGCCTCCTGATACCAGAGCACAGCTCCTTCTGGCCTCTCCGCCACACATATCCATCCCCATGCCCTGCCCTCACCTGCCCCCCCATCCAACACACACGGAGCCCTGGATTAATCAAGTAATCAGACTATGAAATCCAAGGGGGTAATTGGCGGCTCTGACCCCACGCTCCTCCCTGTGTCTCTTAGCCAGCCCACCGAGGATGGGTCCGCCAGCAGGAGGAAAGCCCATTCCACCAGGGAAAATCCACTGACCGAGGTTCCGAGGCAATATTTCACCCCTGTCAGAGGCTGCACGGCCTTTAATGTATCGCAGATGTCCACGGGGAAAATTAAATCTTGGTAATAACAGAGCCTGACCTTGGAGAAGGTAGGAGCCCCTTCGTCCACAGGCACCAAAATGCTGCCCTTTCCAGAGTTCATGGACTCCCACGAGTAGACAGGGCTCGGATCAGGAGCGGATGAGGCTGGCCACCTGCCAGGTGCCCCTGGGAGGGGCACCCAGGCGCCAGGACCACACGCCAGGCAGCACGCACACCCTACCCCACATAGCCTGCTCAACAGCATGAAGTAAGTCCCCCGTCACCCTCTGACGGGCAAGAGCAGGGGTGCTTGGGTCGGGGTGGGGGAGCCGCCACAAGGTCCCACAGGCTGTCAGAGGTCTAAAGAGGGTTCTGACCCCGGCCTGCCTGGTGCGGGTCGGGCGAGAGACAGCAGCTCTCCGGTGAAGTCACCTTAACGCAGTGTGTTCAGGAGGGACACGGTGAGTTCTGGCTGTGACTCAGGGCAGAGCAAAGACGGTGCTCTGACCTCCCCCTTACTCTGCCATTCAATTGCTTATATAAACATGAATGAATAATTCACATGATGGTTTGGATTAAATAAATAAAAGATGTGTCTTTTGCCTTGGAAATGCCATTGCTCTGATGCAGGCTCTCCTGGGGAGCGAGCGGAGCCTTCCTCTGGGCGGGTTTGGTGGCCTGTGCATGTGGCACTCATGAGATGCTCCTCCACGTCCCAGTGACCAAGAGCCCGAGACCCCAGGACCTGTAGGGACCACATTCTGCACCCACATGCAGGTACCCTGCCATACCCATCCCCAGCGCCGGGCCTGCTGGTGGCAACCACACGTGGGCAAGGCTGGCAGAGCAGACAAGTGGCCTCATCGAGTCTGCTGAGAGCCTGGACCACCCATCCCAAAGCTCTCCTGCTGGGTGCACATCCCGGGGACCACCAGACAGGATGGAGACCTCGTGCCTGGGGCGCCTGCACTCAGGCCCAGAACCAGCCCCAGAATCGGGGGGAGGTTGCACCCAGCCCAGACTTGCCCTCAGCCCTTTCCTGCTCCCACCCCCCACCCTCAACACTAGTCTCCAGCTGCGCTGGCTGGGAGACTATGTCCCCCCAACTCTGACCACCATCTTTCCTCTCTAGGCCACTCCTGCCCCTCCTCTCCTCAGCAGCCCTTTGCTCTCCTAGAGTCCTTGGTGAGGGACAAGGAAGGCCGATGGCCAAGTGGGTGCCAAAGAGAGAACATTGTCGCCAGGAGCCCGGGTGTGGAAGGTGGGCATGGGCAGTGGGGTCTGGAGCTGGGGCTGGGTGCCGAGGTCAAGGGGCCATGCCACCTGTCCCCAGCCATGTCCACGGCGCCCTTGGATAGCTCTGCCCTCCAGCCCCTGCTCCTCATCTCTGCCCAACACCTGGCTCCTCCTGGAGTCCTGGAAGGCAGCTGGGAAAGCCTGTGGGAAGGACGCAGAACAAAAATAAACTGCTTTCCTTCTCTCCATCATATAAAGGCTAGCAGGAGAGAGCACTTCACCCTGACAGCAGACATGTCAGGATAAAAGAGCAGTGGTTATGGGCACATAACCCTGGAGACCCAGATCACAGTCTGAAATTCAGAGAAATGCTTTTATCCTGGAGGGGTGAGGAGTGCAAGTGAGAGGCCAACGGGTGGGCGGCTGGACCTTCCCTGCAGAAAGCCTCTTCAGGGCCCCCGCATGCGGCCGTGCTGGCCCACAGAGCCCACTGTGTCTCTACTTTGCTAAATGTACACGCGCTACTGTGGTTTAATCCCCTTCTTCCCAGTTTGCTGGGGAAAGTACAGGGAGCTGGGTGGGCAGGGCGGCGACAACTGAGGTCTGTGCCCCAACAGACCACTGACCTGGGTTCAGGACGGAGACCAGGCGCCCTGCTCGCACAGGCTGCCGATGTGCAGCCCCTTCTTCCAAGCTCCCCTTACTCCTTGGAGTGTTGAGAAGCACAAGCAGATAGGATCACAAGAAACACTTTCAAATACGCCAACGGTTCCTAGGAGGGCAGCTGGAGGTACACGCCCCTCTGCACCAGTGGCCCGAGTGCGCCAGTGAGGTGCCCGGGTCTCAGCCTGATGCCCACTCAGAGCTGCTTGGCCCTGCCAAGTAGGGCCAAGTAGAACTGCCAACTTGGACAGACACATCTCCGGCCCTGAGTGCCTCAGCCTGAGCTCCATCCTGGGACCTCTTAAGGCCACGGCTCCCCATCAGTGGGCTTCCCCGACCCACATCTCAGGCCAGAGGATTCTGACAGCAAAGCAGGTGCTGTCCGCTGGCCACCATCCCAGCCACCCTGTGGGAGGTCAGCCCCTTCATGGTGGAGGCAGCTGGCAGGGGAGCACAGCTGGGACCGGGAGGTGAGGTGGCTGGGGCCTCGGGCCTCCCCCCACAGTCAGCCTAGAGTGGCCCTGGCAGCCAAGTCAGGCCCTCTGACAAAATTCTGAGCTCTGAAGGGAAGATGTGGTCTGGGTTAAAACCCTCTGCTGGTGTGCCCGGACGGCTCAGTCAGTTAAGCATCCGACTCTTGACTTTAGCTCAGGTCACAATCTCAGGGTCATGAGACTGAATCCCTGTGTCGGGCTCCATGCTCAGCATGGAGTCAACTTGAGATTCTCCCTCTCCCTTTGTTCTCGCCCACTTGAGTATGCTTGCTCTGGTGTATGTGCTCTCTCTGTCAAATAACAAATAAAATCTTAACACAAAACAAAACCAAAAATCCCCTCTGTGGACATCAGGCCTTTGCCAAGCAGCCCAGGCCGCCCCTCCAATTGTTCCTGGCTGCCTTTATTTCATGCTCTGAATGAAACACCACTCTCCTCCTCATCTCAGGACCTTTGCACATACCTGGAGCAGCTCCTCCTGGTTTCTAGCTGACTCCTAGTCATCTGACCTTCAAAACTGTGTATCTGGAATAGATCCCATCTCCTGCTGTATGTTCTCAGGGTACATGACAGTGCCTGCTTTAGCACAACAGAGCATTTTTAAAAGTTCCTTTCTGTTATCATTATTTCTCCAGCAGACTCTGAGCTCAGAATAGCCAAGGACTAGGTCCTTTTGTCCCACTGCCTCCCTACAGCACCTCAAGGAGCCGGGAGTACAGAAAATGCCATTTCTGCATAAATCCTAAATCAT